ATATAATTTTTTATTCAATCTTTATTAAATAATAATTACATAATAATTACATAATAAAAAAAACTATACTATATATCCCGGTCTCTATTAAACCTTCTCAGCAAAACACAAAACCTACTAACAATACAAAAAAATACAAAAAAAAGTGAACTGGTACTTATTTTATATCAGTTCCAAGTTCAAGATCCCGATTCTGGCCCCTATTAATCCTTCTCGGCGAAGTACAAAACCTAAAGAAAAAGAAAGCAAGAATTAGTAAAAGACAAAAAAAAACAAAAAAAACAAAAAAAAGTGAACTAGTACTTATCTTTGTACCAGTTCTAGGTTCAAGATCCTGATCCTGGCCCCCATTAACCCTTCTCAGTGAAGTACAAGACCTAAAGAAAAAGAAAACAAGAATTAGTATTAGTAAAAGACAAAAAAAATGAAAAAACAAAAAAAAAATGAACTGGTACTTATCTTTGTACCAGTTCCAGGTTCAAGATCCCGATCTCGGCCCCCATTAACCCTTCCTGGTGAAGCACAAAACCTAAAGAAAAAGAAAGCAAGAATTAGTAAAAGACAAAAAAAAATGAAAAAAATGAAAAAAAGTGAACTGGTACTTATCTTTATACCAGTTCTAGGTTCAAGATCCCGATCCTGGCCCCTATTAACCCTTCTCGGTGAAGTACAAGACCTAAAGAAAAAGAAAACAAGAATTAGTAAAAGACAAAAAAAACAAAAAAAAAACAAAAAAAAAGTGAACTGGTACTTATCTTTGTACAAGTTCCAGATTCAAGATTCAAGATCCCAGCTTATTAACCCTTCCTGACGAAGCACAAGACTACAAAAAAGAAAACATTAGTAATATCAAAAAAAACAAAAAACAAAATAAAGTTAACTGGTACTTATCTTGGCACCAGTTCCTAGTTCAAAAGGCGTTAGTAAAAAAAAAATGAAACCAAAAAAATAAAAAAATAAATAATAAAATAAAAAAATCAAAAATCAAAAAAAAATATTAAAAAAAATAAGAAAATTCGAAAAAAAAATAAAAAAATAAGAAAATAAGAAATAAAAAAATAAAGAAAAAAAAAACAAAAAATAAAAAAAAATAAAAAATAAAAAAATAAAAAATAAAAAAATAAAAAATAAAAAATAAAAAAATAAAAAAAATAAAAATAAAAAAAATAAAATGAAATAAAAAATAAAAAAAAAAATAAAAAAAAAAAATAAAAAAAAAAAATTCAAAGATCGCACTTATATTGCTGCAATGTAAATCATAAAAAGTTAGATGCGAAATATTTCGAAAAATTTTGTATATAGCAAAAATTTCGAAATTTATTTCACAATATTTCGAAATATTTTGCATTTAGCAAAAATTTTAAAATTTATTTCACAATATTTCGAAATATTTTGCATTTAGCAAAAATTTTAAAATTTATTTCACAATATTTTGAAATTATTGTGCTATGTAAAATCTTTTGAAATATTTCGCACCTATAAATTTGCTGATGTTGAAGAAAGAAGAAAAAACTTGTATCTTATCATATATCTTATATATAACATTCTTCAGAAAAAGTGAAGCAGAAGAAATAAAAATAAGAGAAGCTTTAATCAAAAGCCTAATTCCAGAAAAGATACAAAACAGACTAGCATAGCTCCTAAATACTAAGACAAGACAGCAGTTTATAGAAATGATAGCAAAGACAGTATGAGACATATTCTATAAACAAGTTTAGAAAATATGGTATAAAAAGGTTAATGAATAAGAGAAAAAAGAAGACATAATGATCAAAATAAAAAAAAAGGAGATTAAAAAAAAAGATCCAAAGAAGAAAAAAAAGACAAGTTAACAAAAGATTGAAGAAGAAAGAAAACTAGCAAAAAAGAAAAAGAATAGAATTAATAAAGAAATTAGAAAAACAATATTAGAACTTGTCATGAAAAGCAAAAGACTCTTTTATTATGAACTTTAAGTAGTTAGACAAGTGGCCTACTTCTGCTTGAAGTAGTATAACAGGTTGCACTTAGATATCCTTTGGGTAACTGAATGATGCTAAACTTAGTTGTTAGATAAATCTATATAATTGCAAAAGTAATTTCAAGAATCTTAATAAAGTACTAATATGATTGCTTAAGTTAAAAATAAAAAATAAAAAAAATGTTGGTTTTGTTATAGTAATACTAGATTAATTATAAAAATAAGTATAAAAACTTTAAAAAATTTACTTTAAGGATAAAATAGTTCTAAAGTTGAGATAATAATCTGAATATCTAAATATGACTTAGTAAAATTAATACAAATTACAAATTTAAAGAATTTAAAATGAAATATTCAAACAAAGATGTTAAGTATGGCAATTGATAAGAAACCTTCAAACAGACTTCTTAAATATGCAATATAAAAAAGTTATATGTGTGACCAATTGTATGCTCTCCTATAGTGAGTGGTTTACTAAATTATATTACCAAAAAAATCATTAATAAAAGTCAAAAAACTAAAAAAGTCATCTTAATATTAAAAAAAAAAAAATTTAATAATATAATAATTTTAACTAAAAAAAATAGCTCAAAAAATACTTAACTGTTTAGTATTTTAGGTATTCTAAAAATATATGCTTTAAAATGTCTTTGAATATTTGAAATCAATCTAAGTTCTTATTAAGATAAATTTTAAAAACAATCATTTGAAATGTGGAAGTTACACGAACACGAGAAACTTAGGATGATCATCACGTGCGGAGAAAATTTCTTGTGAAAGAGCTGTGTAACTTACTATATAGCCTACAAACCGTAACTGCATCAAAAAGGTAACTCTGAAACTCGCTCCGCTTTAGCCGACCCCTCAAAAAAGTAAGTTTTATTATCACGTGGCTTAGATCTAAAAAAAAACGCATCAATCAATTCATCAAATCAATTATAGCATTTCCCGAGACAAGTTTAGACTTCTGTGCCCGAGAAACTCGTTAACTCGTTAGATTACTGACAGCAATGCTTCGCACGTGCCGCTTGTCGAGTAAATTCGGGAGCTCTTTTAAAATTTCATTAAGTCGAGCTTATGCTAGTGTCGCTGCCTTACCTGTGACAGTCACAAAGTCTAAAGCTGGAATTACTGTCGTTTCGGTTGAAGGTGAACATGTTTCTAAAAGTTTTGGCCTTCTAAACACTCGATAGAATTCGTCAACAGACTTTGGTGGAGTTATAAAGCCTGAGTAGCTCGTGTTGTTCATACCTCTGAACTTTTATACAAATAATAAAAAGATAGTGCCCCTGCTTCCTCTGTCTCCCTTGTGGTAAAGGCTGGTTCTCGGGAGGAGGGTACTGATAATGTCGGTGTGGCTCATTATTTAAAGAATTTTGCTTTTAAGGTAGGATAATGACTTGATTCAATTCATGATGCAAATTTATTTCTTGGCTGATAAGGTTATGGCTCCTATGAAAATTTATTAGTGAGTTGTTCGTCGAGAAACGTTATATAAATTATTATATTATACTTCGATAATACTAAATTAAATTTTTTTTTTTTCTTTTTATTGTTCTGATATAATCGAAAATTTTAATTATTCATTACTTATAGAATACATCGGCACGAACTGCGTTCCGCACTACGCGTGAAGCAGAATTACTTGGTGGCTTCCTATCTGCAAATTTGGCAAGAGAAAATTTAATACTATCCGCTGAATTTTTACGCGGTGACCTGTATGTATCACACATATGCTATTTTGAATTCAAAGTTAATCATAGTTCTTTTAGTAATTCAACAGTTTTAAGTTTACTAAATTAATTATTTAATAACTAATAGTGGTTATTTTATGGAAATCTTATCCGATATTGTCTTTAAGACAAAATATGAACAACACGAATTTCCTAACATCAAGGAGAGTGTCAATTTTGAAAGAGGTGCTGCTGCTGCTATTCCTGAAGTCACAGTTATGAATGCTGCACATTCTGTGGCCTTCCGTCATGGCCTTGGCAATTCTTTATTTGCTGATGATGCAACGAAAGTTTCAAATAGTTCAGATGTTAAAGCATTTGCTAATAAAGTTTATACTGCTCCAAACATCATGATTGTGGGTACTTCTGTAAATCATGGAGAGTTATTAAATCTTACAGATTCATTGTTTCAAAATATCAGTCACGCTATTCCTTCTACTCCAATTGCTTCAAAATACTTTGGTGGGGAATGTAGAATTTCTATTCCAGGTGATAGCCATTTTGTTCTTGCTTTTTCAGGTGCTCCTGCGGGTACTTCCGACTACGCTGCCCTTCAAATTTTACGTTTTCTCATTGATGGTGAAAAGGGCACAAAATGGGGTGAAGGCGTTAACGTATTAGCTCAAAGAGCAAGTAAGCTTGATGATACAAAAATTAGTTTCTTTAATGCTGGATATTCGGATGCCGGTCTCTTTGGTGTGCATATCTCAGGAATAGCTACGTCTGTATATTCTGCTGCTCGTTCCGCTGTCGAACAATTAAAACATGCCGCAAATAAGATTTCAAAAGATGATTTCGCGCGAGCTTTAGCAAAGGCTCGTTTTAATGCTGCCGCTGCTTATGAGACACGCGCTTCTAAAACAGAAATTTTCGGTAACCAGGTAATCCTGTCGTAATAGATTATTCTCTTAATAATGATCGTCGTTTTTGCTAACATTAAATTTATACTATTAAATTTACAGATTCTGTTTTCTGGAAAAGTCACCACTGTGACTGAAGCTCTTACCCAATTTGATCGTTTCAAAGTCGAAGACATTCAAAGCGTATGTAATTTTCTGAGGTCTATAGCCTTACCGAGTTCGGTTCTTAAAATTTTTTGGAGGCTGAATTCGATAAGATAATAAATTTAACCTCAGAAGTTTGTTTTTCTTTTGTCGTCACTCATTATTAAATGAATATTAGTGTGTTCACTAAGTCTTTCATGAATAAATAGATTGCGGCGAAGATTCTTAAGTGTAAACCTACTGCAGTTGCACTCGGTGATGTCAGCGCCTTGCCATACTCTGATAGTCTTTCTCTTTAACCAGCAAAAAATAAAATAAAATAACATCTTAGATCGTATATATAATTAAAATAAACTTTGATTTATCATTATTTACTTCGTCTTCAATAAAGATTCTAAAATATTATATTTTATAATATTTTATGAATGTGCCAACAATCTATGATGCATGAGTTTCTTATATTTCCAAATGATTTATTAGCCCTCTATGAATTTAAATGTCCTTTCGTATTTCATCATAGGATGTTTTCATGTGGGCAACAAAAAAGTTTTTCAAAGTCAACATCTTATCCTACCTGCAGATTTTGCTTATCATTAGCTTGTAGGTCTCATTCAAGTTGACTACAATCATAAATTACTATACTGATAAAGTAATATAAATATGGTTTACACCAAATTTGATAGTGATTGGTCACCAGCAGGTGGGGACAGCGATAATTCCGTCCGTGATAAAGCAAAATTCTGCGATTAAATATGGGTGTTGCCAGGTGAAAACCAGAAATTTCAATTTTGCCAGCATCACTTTCTGATCCGACTTCTAATAAATTTAAATTAAGCACAACATATATTATATGATGTGTTAAGGTAGGTTCTATTATTATTGCATAGTTACTTTGTTTTACTATGTTTAACTTTTTTCTGGTTGCTCTTTCTCTGCTTTTTCTATTAGTTCTCTTGTTATTCTCAATAATGCAACCTTGTCTGGATTCTGTTCTGTTAGTATAGTGACAATTTTGTCATCTCTGTTAGGTGTTACATATGTTTTACCTAATTGTTTCAGAAACACATTATTGTGCATATTGTTAATAACTCAGTATGTTTTTTTGATATATGTTGTTATTAAATTATTATTGCATCTTTCTAATATGTTTATATTTCCAATACAAGTTGAAAACATATATGTTTTATTTTTTTTTATATATGATTAATTTATTTGTTTGTTTATATTCTTGTTTCCAAAACAAATCTGTAATATAAGATTAATATCAATTTCTTAAAATTTTTGGTTTTCAAATTTTTTTTTTAAAAATTTTAGTTTTTTTTATTTTGTTACAAAGTAGATTTTTGTATAGTATATTATAAATAGTATTAGTAGTTATATATATTCTTTATTGTATTTTATATCTTATATTTATTATTATTAATTATTAGTTATTAGTTAGTCGATAGTTATATTATATAGTAGATAGATAAAAAGGATCTTAATTGGTTATTAGCAATGTGGTATAGCCACATGACACTGAGTAACATCTGTGATGTTACTATCATCTTACAAACCCCAAGTACCCTTGTACAAGTTTCATGTATCCTAGTACTAAATTACTGTGCCAAGTGTCACAGCACAAGAATCCCAAGTATCCCTGACATGAACTCCAAGTACTCTCGCATGAACCCCAAGTATCTCTGTACAAATTCTAAGTGCCTTTGCATGAATCCAAGTGCCTAAACACAAGTTTCAAGTGTTTTAAACACAAATGACAAATGATATAAAAAATATCACCAGTTGCTTCTGCACAGTTCCTACTACCCCAAGTACAATATTATTTAATGTTGTTCGAACCTTCACTATCTCAATTACAATGATATCTAATGTTGTTTGAACTCCCATTATTCCAAATACAGTATCAAGTAATGTTGCTCGAATCTCCACTATTCTTGCTAGGTAAAAAGATATATAAAGAGTAGCTTTTACCCTTCCCTGCCAATTCTAAGTTTCTATACTTTAACCTAAACCCTTCTACCTTTACCCCTAACTTGTAAAAGTGATATTCTCCCACTAAGGTAATTCTTACAGGCAAGGTTATCACTATGTATTTATTTAATAAAAGTTAATCTATATACTGTTATTATCTCGAACTATTTGCCTGCTGCTGTGTAGTAAAGTGAACTACTACACCTTCACTCCATATATATTTGCAATAGTCAATTACTGTACTGGGTGACCTTGTTACTTGGTTGTATTGTACCAAAAAGGCTACAACCCTGTAACAATTTCTTTTTTGTTAATTAATTATTTTTAATTATTTTTTTTTTTTTTTATATCTTACTTGAATATTTTTTTTTTTATTTAATTTTTTTTAATTAATTTGTTATAATTTTTTAAAAAATATTTATTTTTTATATTTTTTAAATATTAAGATAAGTACTTGTGACTTAGGATTTTATTAATAGTATATTTGACTAATAGTTACATTACAATCACAAGAAGCAACTATGAAAAAAATATACAACTAGTTACTCATACAATTTTAGTCATTATCTAATTTAAGTAGTCTGTCTAAGGGTTTTATACTAACTATTATACCTGAAGCCTACTTGTAAGTTTCCTATTTAACTACTCTAGTTTTCATATCCATCTGCCTACCTCTGCCTATCAATGATCCTGGCTAATACTAGTGAAAATATGTTATAATCATTAAGTCTTTAAAGTAGTTCTTTAAAATCTTTGACTTTGTACTAAACTTTTAGAATCTTTTGTATCCCATTCTTATAGTCAAGACCAATACTGACAGTTAGAATAGATCATTAAACTGCTATACTCTTGTAAAATTTACTTCAACTCTAGTATAACTTTATAATATATCCTTATTATTTTGGTATTCAATTCAAGTTTTATTAAGCTATCATTTCAAATAGGCTGAAAAGGTAGGTCAAAACTATACATCACTGGTTTACATGTTTATCAACATGTATTTTTTTCCTTTGAAATTCAGAAATTCTAGTAATCTGATTGGTTCATTTGGTTCTTTCTCAAAAACTGATATATTTGTCTAATTTTACAAGTTTTAGTTTTATTTCATAAGTCTAGTCTTTACAATAACACTGTCAAAAGTTCGAATTACCTCTCTATTTGGGTCTTTTAAGTATGCTTCTGTCTTCCTTTTTTTGGTTTCTATAATTTATATGATCATAAGAACTTATTGCAGGTTTGCATTACTCAGTATTAGTTTACATTTCTTTATATAACTACAGACCTTGTCTTAAAGAACAATATCATATAACTGTTATACAAATATTATATAACCTGCCAGTTATACTAGTGTGATACAAATAATAGGTATCTTATCCCAACCAATTGTAAGAGATGATTAACTGTAATACAAGAAGAATTTTTAAATTTTTTGTTGATACTAAGATTTAAACTCTAAACTTGCCATTTGGAGGTTAACAATCTTACTATTTTACTAGATCATTATACTTTTTAAAAAGTGTTTATACTTATATAAAAAATTACTATATTTTAATAATTTATTTATAATTTATTTATAATTTAAAATTTGTAATTTTATAATTTTAGTTATATTAAAATTAATTTTGAAAATATATAATATTATATAAATAAATTTAAAAAATATATATTTAAATAAGAAATTTATTTAAAAATCTTAAATAAAAAAATAATTAAACTTTTAATAATATTATTTATAAAGAACTTAATTTAGAAAAAAATCTAAAATAAAATAATCTGTATAAACAAAAATTACAAAATGCAAGATATATATATTTTTTTTTTAAATATTAAGATGAATACTTGTGATCCAGAATTTTTTTTTTTTTTTTTTTTTTTTTTGGAGTTAAGGTGAGGTCATGCCTCAAGTCTGTTTATTCGAACATATTGTTA